ACTCACTCACGTTAGAGAAGAATACTGGCGAAAGGTAACTTCGCCGATTGCGTGTCATCGTGACCCTATTGTTCATGTTTTCAATCACTAGTTTGCATGATTCAGACTTGATTGTTCTCTCATTTACTTAAATTGTTTTGCACTGTATGAGTGAGTGAGTGAGTGAGTGAGTATGGTTTTACGCCGCTATTAGCAATATTCCAGCAATATCACGGCGGGGGGACACAAGAAATGGGCTTCACACAATGTACCCATGTCGGGAATCGAACCCGGGTCTTCGGCGTGAGAAGCGAACGCTTGAACCACTAGGCTACCCGACCGCCCCTGCACTATATGAACTGAACGGACACTACATCGCCAGTTTAGCTTGATATTAATAATTCGTGTTAACAATCTGGGTTCGCTGTATGTTTTACAAGTATATTAGATTCCTTTTTCTCGTATTGGCGAGTGAACCCATTTCCTTAGGAGTTTTGGATAGTCTAGTAGTTTAAGTGGTGGCTCGTCACGCCGAATGCCTGGGTTCGATTCTCAACACTGGTTCAATGTATTAAACCCATTTCTGGTGTCTCCGGCGTTTTATTGCTGAGATATTGCAAAACACGGATTCAAACTCGCTCTTTCTCTCCACCTTCAGTTCCAAGTGATAGTCATCACTCCTCATCTATAGAGTTGGACCCAGAAGTTCCGGGGTAAAATAGGTCTTCAGCAATCCATGCTTGCCGTAAAAGGCGACTATGCTTGTCTGTCTTTATAGGCAACTAACAGGATCGGGTGTTCAGGCTCGCTGACTTGGTTGATGCATGTCATCGATCCCAATTGCGTGGATTGATGGTCATGATATTAATCACTGGATTGTCTGGTTCAAACTCGATTATTTATAGACCGCCGTAAAACAGCTGGAATATTGAGTGCGGCGTTAAACAACAATTCTACCAACCAACCTATAGAGTTGGCACAGGGTCTTAGCTTTGGTTGCTGGTGGCTTATAGCCTGTGATTTAAAAAGTCGTAAATAATATTGTTATCCTAAATAAAGTTTGACAAGTTTTGCTTTAAAAAACTTTGTATTTGTATGACGTGCTTGTAGATATTAAAACATATTCTCGTCGCTATATAGCTGAAATAATGCGGATACGACGTTAAATATTAACGAATCCGTTCATTCTCCTAATGTAATATGTGGATTAGGGCAGTAAATTCTGAGATTAGATTGATCCACGTCATCCATAATTAACAAATGGCGTCTGATTTGCTCTATGAATTGAACACTGTATCTAAATTTACCGGACAGTGGTACCTTTAACATTTGAAACCTCACGCTTCCGATTCCATATGCAGTTTAGCACCACGAGTTGTACTCGTAATATAGCGCTGCAATGAAAACCCCGTCATGTTCTCTCCTAATGACAGACTCTGCATCCACTGTCGGTCAGACATAAAGATAATGTAAGATGCAGCCATCAATGAAATCATACATCTCCATTGGGTCCCGTGTCGAGCAGGGTGCGGGATTACATTAATGCCCGTAGCACTTTAATCACGTTTTTTCACATGGAAGGGAGTTAGCCTACCAGGCCATGATTCCCCATGTCCTTTGGGGGTATTTGTGTCTGTATCAGCAAGACAATGGTTGATGGGTCAGGGACAGCCGCAGATTGGATATTATACGTCAGATTGGGGAATAATACATCAAATTGAGGTTTTGTACGTCCGTTTTGGTGTAAAACGTCAGATTTGGTAATATAACATCAAATTGGGGTTCTATACGTCAGAGTGGGTGTAATACGTCAGATTTGGGAATATTACATCAAATTGGGGTTTAGTACGTCAGATTGGATATAATACGTCAGGTTTGGGAATATTACATCAAATTGGGGTTTTGTACGTCAGAGTGGGTGTAATACGTCAGGTTTGGGAATATTACATCAAATTGCCAATTTGGGGTTTAGGACGTCAGATTGGATATAATACGTCAAATTTAGGAATATAACATCAAATTGGGGTATAGTACTTGAGATTGGATACAATACGTCAGCTTTGAGTATACGACGTCAGATTTTAGGTATAACGCGCCAGACAGGGGTATACCTCAGATAGGAGTTAGTACGTCAAACAGAGGCGTAGTACGCCTGACTGGTTCATCAGATTGGGTATATTACGTCAGATTGGCATATAATACGTCAATCGACATATAATACCAATTCAGTGTTGTTCGCTGATCGGCTTCCGTTTAAGCCAATGTATCATATCTCTGTTGTATTATGGTTCGAATGGAATGACGCTAAAAGTAAACGTCAGTACATGTATATACATGTACCCTTGTATGGTAAAGACGTACCCTGATTGAGGTATGTACTTTGACGACGTTTTATACGTTGATATGACTTATTGACACAAAGCGGCAGACTCGCAATGCCATCAGTTTGGAGAAAGGATGAAATATAGATGTACCATGAAAAAAAGTTAATCATCATCCGATTTTTTCATATTACTTGTTTTAATATAACCTGTATTAATATCAAAGAATCGGGTGATCCTTAACATGTTTGGGACCGCCTCCGTGGTCTAGTGGCAGAGCGTCAACTCGGAGAGCGGAAGGTCCGGAGTTCGATCCCCTGCCGCGTCATACCAAAAGACGTTAAAAGATGGTATTTGTTTTTACCCTGTCTGGCGCTCCGCATTAAGGGGCTAAAACAAGGACTGGTCGGCTCGGAGTCAGTATACTGTGTCTGACTAGGGTATTCATGTTAAACTGCGGCATGGTATCTCAGTGTGCTAGCACTATAAATCGGTCCCACGGCGGGGGACACCAGAAATGGCCTTTACACAATGTACCCATGTCGGGAATCGAACCCGGGTCTTCGGCGTGACGAGCAAACGCTTTAACCACAAGGCTACCCGACCGCCCCTTCACCAGCCCTGAAGTGTGCAACACTTAGTATTCAGAAATAAAGCCATGACAGATTCTTTTTCAACCGAATTAACATTTAAACCCAAAGGCGTATTTCCCTGTGATGGCTCGAGCCCCGTGTGTGTTATGGAGTGGCGACAACGTCAGACTGGCCTAATTAACAGATCGTGCTTCTCTGTGTTCAAACATTTTCCTGTAAATACCCCTATAGCGATTCCGACACTTGGTAGACCCCCCATTACCCCATGCTGACAATAAGAGACGGTTAAATTGAGGATCAGGATTGGCTTTGGGATAAAGCTTTGATGAATGGACACCTGGGAAGACGGGTTGTCGTGACCTTGATGGAAGTGTCACTCTCACGCTTTTTTGTGGTTTTACGCCGCTTTTAGCAATATTACAATAGTATCACGACAGGGGACACCAGAAATGGGCTTCACACATTGTACCCATGTCGGGAATCGAACCCGGATCTTCGGCGTGACGAGCGAACGCTTTAACAACTAGGCTACCCGTCCGACCCCATTCCATGAAAGGCTCAAATCGCAGAGAACTGTTGTCTTCACTTGTTTCGAATCCTGGGTTCTGAAATGAACTTTGGTCTGTCAACACAATAAGCCATTCGCGACTGGTCCGGGACAAGCTAAATAGCGAGTAGGGCCCCTCTCGGGGCCATTTTTGCGACTGGGTTCCGTCTAAGCGCAAACGGACACAGCTAAAAGAATTGTCAACTCGTTGCATAATTCACGTATATTTACCCTTAATATCGAACCTCCCTAGGAAATTTGCTATTTAAAATACATCTGGACAGTATTATAAAGTATGATTGAACACGTTTAACTGTGTCTTGGGTATATTTTAGATGCAAGACATCAATATAGCAAAAATATTCCACAGGAATTTCTTGACCGAAGTACATGAGGTCATGTGCGCATTCTGACTGGTTTGTCGTATTTTCGCTCATAACATTCATTCGACGGGTATGCTTGGAAGTTACGGAAATGGGCGACTAGTGACGAATGCACAACAAGCGTCGATTTCACAAAAATTGTAAACCACGACCTTCATCACTAAGGGTGGCACGGATGACCCAGTCGCCTGAGGCACCGCGAGTTCCCTTGGGCACGCCAGAAACCTATGATTGTGGGTTCCAATCCCGGTTCGCCCCGATTATGTTTCTAGGTTTGTCAGCACCATATCCGTGCTCGTGGGTTTCACCGAAGTGGTAAACATCTGATGAAACCTGCATCACTCCGGGCTTTCCTCCCACATAAGCTGACACGCCGTGATATAACTTGAATACTGTTTAAAGTTTAAGGGGCTGAAACAAGGACTGGTCATCTCGGAGTCAGTATACTGTGTCTGAGTGGGGTATTCATGTTAAACGGCGGCATGGTATCTCAATGTGCTAGCACTATAAATCGGCATCAGTCCGGGCTAGTACAATCAGCCACACACACATGTGCATGCACGTTGCTACATAAGCGCAATAATCTTGGACGCGACGTTTCACCTCACCTTTACGGCAAACATGGGTTGCTGACGACCTATTCTACCCCGGATCTTCACGGGTCCCTCACTTGCAGAGTGGCCCAGAGTGACAAAAACTGAAAAATGTTCAAGACTGATTACAAGAGTGATTACACGTTGATAGCTTTAATGTGGTCTGCAAATTATCATCGTGGGTGGAGTGGGGTAGCTTAGTGGGTATAAAGCCTTCGATCGTCTCGCCGAAAACTCGGGTTCGATTTCAAGCGCCGTGAACCCACCTCACACACTAGCTCTGAGCTCTGCATTCGTTCTTCACCAAACATTTCATCGCTTGTGATTTAGTACCCACAATTTGAAATGTTCAAAGCGAGTAGCGGAAAAAAATACACATTTGTTTCTCAACTTTCATTATTGTTTTGTACCTCAGGGGAGGCAACTCTGGAGAATAATGCCAGTGCTTCAAACCATTGCTTGCCATTTGATTGATACCATTTATACCAAATTAAACTTGCAAAGCTGAGGCCGTTTTTCATTTCATCCGCTTTGTATTTAAACGTTATTCAGAGTTAAACATAATCTTCTTTCTGTCTTTCCAGGTATTAAAGGCAGCTAGTCCCGTGCTGCTGAGAATTATTTTGCTGGGTGCATTTTTTCTCTACTGTCCGGTAAGCGTGCTCTGTTTAAATTTTCATTTTGTGAAAAGCCAAAAACAGCTGTTGTTTTTTGGTTTTAGTAAAATCAGCGAGAAGAAAAGGCTTTATTTTCATGGTATGGAATGCAGAACTAAAATTACGGTTTACAAGAGACAAAAATACATGTCGTCACGTGCGGGAAAAAGTTTGGAAAAATACGTGAGTTGGAAATAGCATCAAAAGACTTTCTTTGGCCTAATCCCCAGGGGGAGAGCTGATTAAATTTTTTTCACTTTAACTTTCGAATCATTTCACGTTGTGTATATACCAAACTGACATTGCTCGAAAATATTTCGTTAACATCCTAAGTAATTATATCACGGCCATCCTTCAGCGAAGATTTGACATGGTCCTGATGTCATAGGGACCGCATTGCAGTGCAGAGTTGCGTCCCTTAGCTGTGGCAGAATCCTCTGATCGTGGGTTCGAATCCCAGATTTGTGTCCTGTATACACAATACCCGTTGTACATTTCTGAGTTGTTTGTGGCTTTTATGTCATGTTTTACTGACACGCCGTGATACAACAGGAACACTGTCAAAAGTGGCGTTAAACCCAACTAACTTAAAGATGCACGAAACTTAAATTCATTCACTCATTATTTTTACCAGGTTTTTTTCAGTCATGTAGTACTAATCAATGGTCCCCGATGTGTTTAACAGCTGCTAAAGTATATTTCTTAGAGTTATTTATATAAAACGTGCGGCAACAGACACGAATTAAACCCATAGAGGTCACTAGCGCTGAAAACAAAGATGATAATCAAATTAACTTGTGGAATTTGAAACCGACAGCAGTCAGACTTATCATCGCCGGTGATTGAAATTCCCAGATGACTTATATTTGTGCAATTTAACTTCAGAAACAGGCGAAAATTGATACCTCTGTGTCAATGTACAAACATTATTCAATAAATGATCAAAGCGGTTTCTATAATAAGCTTGTAGAATTAAAGGAATTTTTTTTTGGAATATTTCATTCACCGAAGAAATTAAAGTTTTAAAACAGAATTTTGAACTGTATGTACACAATAACCTGATTCAAACTACAAAGCTGGCAATTACCATCATGATAAAATCAGAACAGACATAACCAGAATGAAAAATCATCAAGGACAGTGAAATAAGGGTATTGATCAGTAGCTCAGTGGGTAAAGCGTTCCGTCTCCAGTACGTAGGCCCGGGTTTGATTCCCCATCGGGGCGCAAAGTATGATTATCACGGTGGCCTCGCCGTGAAAACAGATAACAATAAATTTGCTATATTCCCTCAGCATTGGATTTCGGCGCGCGTCTAAGGCGTCGCAATTCGCTGTGCAGAGTTCTGTCCCTTAGGTGTGCACGAAACCTATGCTCGAGGGTTCGAATCCTATATTCTAGTTTTGTCAGCACCTTAACTATGAATACCAACCTTACTTTGGGCTTTCCTCCTTAAGGAAGCGATCAGTCGTGATATCACTGAAGTACTGTTCAAAGGGACGTTAAATACACTCAATTACTTTATGGAATAAGTAGGTACAATAGGCATTTATGGTAGGCATCAGTGAGTGAGTGAGTTAGGTTTAACGCCGCTTTTAACAGTATTCCAGTCATATCACGGCGTGTCAGCTTAATGTGGGAGGAAAGCCCGAAGTGATGCAGGTCTCGGACGTTTACCACTTCGGTGAAACCCACGAGCACGGGTATGGTGCTGACAAACCTAGAAACATAATCGAGGCGAACCGGGATTCGAACCCACAATCATAGGTTTCTGGCGTGCCCAAGGGATGCAACTCTGCACAGCGAATCGCGGCGCCTTAGAAGACTTACCCGTGCCCCCGGTAGGCAGAATCGGCAACTATCGTCAACATTTCAGTAGAAAACTAAGGTCGGTATTAGCGTAAGCTAAATTTATGACTCAAGCTTTAGAAAAATACGATGCTATGACCAGTATATACAACCATTTTCATACAAACTCCAACCCGTAAGTTTCTTTTAATTTGATGAAAATAGATATTCAAACGAAACGATGACCACCCTTGGTTGTTACACTTATCGTTACATCTATTACATCTGTTACTAGATCTTAATTGTGTTCGCTTTGTTACAGCTCGTCGTGGGTTATTTTGAAGCCAGTGTTGTGACTTGCTGTTTGCGGTTCTGGTTTCGTGAAATTGGATTTTCCATATCATACGGAGCATTGTTATTAAAAACGTGGAGGTGAGTAATTGATGGTCCTTTTGTTATATGCTGTGTTTGAAAATTTAATTATTCCATTAGTTTGGGTTGATGTAGGACGTGCTTACAAAGTGCTTCTTTCTGGATCAAACCTGTAAATACTGAGCGCCTCGTACCAGCGCCCTAGGGCTGGACAGGCGGACATTCGTTTTCTCTAATTATATTTGTATTATCGTGTTTAATTATATAAACCTGGAAGTAAATACAATAGGAATTGAAACTTGTTTCCTTTAAACTTTGATGGATGCAGTCGTTTTAATTATTCCCTCTGTTAAATTTAATTGATTAAACCAAAAGTCATTAATATTTCACTTAAACTCCCTTTTCAAATTTGATCTCAAATAAAGACCCATAGTTTAATTATTGGATGGATGAAGATGGGACCACTGCAGCTTCAGGGTGAATGTATTTCAGCTAGCGTGGACGAATGGTGAAGGTCATTCAGGGGTCATGTGTTGTAGTTATGACAACGTGACCTAAGTTACTTCAATTTTTGTAAAAACTGAGGTCAAACAATTCCTGTCTTTGATATGGTTTCGGTAATGCTATATATGCATTATAGTGATGTTAGTTGCATAGCAAAGATGCCATTAAATGGTGGGAATACATTTTGATACATTAGGAGTCTATGTATGGCTATTGATTTAATGAAAATGTCACTTAGGTGGTTATTAAACTGAAGTGTTTAATTCAAACAAACATTGTTCACATCACTGAGCATTTAAGATCATCTTGGTCGATATACCATTAACACTCGAGTAAACAGACACAAAATGAAAACGATCTTATGAATCTATACTAGAGGCTGTGAAAGGGTTGAAATGTACACGGTTCTTCAGCTATTAAATCGCGTTCTTAAGAAGGCGATAATGCAACAATGTCATGTACATTAAGTAATAACTGAGAAACAGTTTCAACAACCTAGTTCTCTTTGACAAGAACATTGTTATTGTTGACAACATCCATGGACATTATTTAAGACGCTTTCATCCTCCTTCCAAACATTTTCAAACACGCAATGAACGATTCCAAGCCGATCAATACTTTTAGGTTTTTGTCTGGTAATAAATCCGGGTTTTATGTTAGTTCCGTGGACTTATATGTTGTCCGCATTTTAAGAGAAGAGTTATCGCTCCGTGCATCAAGTACGCCGCCATTGTTGGTAACGAGCTGGTGAAATAGTTTTCTGGCAACTGAGAACAAAATTGGAGGAGAATACCTGATTCCCTGGTCCTTTTGAAAAAAAACATTTATGATGGGAAACATGTTTTCATGGCTTGGTGGAATGTTGTTATACGTAGATATCTTATTTTATACGTTATTGAAGCTGGTCAGGGTACTGGTAGACACGATACTTTAATTGATAAAATCTCGATATGGTGACTAGTATTCTCTCCCGTCATTATCGGAATAATGGCACAGTTACCCCCCCCCCCCCCCCCCCCCCCGAATGGTGGACACTGTGGTAGTTTACCAGTGAGACATCTAATCACATAAAGAAATCCTCCAAACTTACCATAAGCCAGGAAAGTTTCTCGCGCCATTAAACAGTTACTTCCATCAATATCATCAACTAGAATGTCACATTGACCCATTGGAACCCTGATCTTAACCAGGAACGTCTGAAGTTTATATACAGCTACTCTGGGGTGTTAGCAAATGCCTTAACCTCATCAGGAAGCTATCCGCCATTTCAGCCTCTTCACTTCTGTCCCCAGCCACTGATCAGTTAAGTGTGTCCTATGACATAAACCATCCGCTCAGAATAAGTGCATCTGCCGAAACTGTCAATTCGGAAGCACAAAAACCGAAGAAATGTTAAAACCTCTCGTTCTAGAAATATCTTGAGTCGTTTAATGATCTCGAACATTCCCCTCTGGAAGCAACGTTTTGTGGATAAGAAACATTAACGGTTTTTTCCGCGTGGTTTTGGTAAATTGAGATCTTTGAAGACGTTTTTTCGTGCGATGCTTACAAGATATAAATGTTTGAATTGATAAGGAAGACGTATCGTTTTTCGGCGTTTATTCTGAATTTCTTCTTTTATCTTTGACGTTGTAAAAAGAAAGGGTCGTACAACTGCCCCCTGAAGAGGGTAATGAAATTCAAAAATACTCCTGTTATGAGCATCATCGGGTAGCGCTTGAAAGTCAGATCATTGCGTGAACAAGTAAAGTGCATTTATCCCTAATTAAAGGTTGAATGCCAGACAGGCGAATGGGTTATATGCACAGACAGTTATAACTAAGTGTTAAAATGAGAACTATTGCACGACTTTGAGGAAGCGTCACACGTATGATGGTTTATCTGCACTCAAGGGGATTTACATCCCCGTTCCCCCGTCTCCTCACGACCGCCTCCGTCGTCCAGTGGATAAAGCGTCTGCCCAGAGAGCGGAAGGTCGGTGGTTCGATCCCTGACCGCGTCATATCAAAAGACGTTAAAAGGATGTTCTTGTTGTTACCCTCTCTGACGTTCGGCGTTAAGGGGATGAAGGGCTGGTCGGCTCTGAATCCGTATACTGTGTCTGAGTGGGGTATTCTTGTTTTACTAGGGTATGGTATCTCAGTGGGCTAGCACTATAAAACCGGAGTCCGGAGTCGTACAAGCACAGACACACATGCATATACAAGCACGTCGCTCTATGATCTCAAAGTCAATGTTCGTTGGGTTGGTTCTTGTTTAACGCCGCACTCAGCAATATTCCAGCTATATGACGGCGGTCTGTAAATAATCGAGTCTGGACCAGACAATCCAGTGAATGACATCATGATCATCGATCCACATAATTGGGATACGATAGCATGCATCAACCAAGTCAGCGAGCCTGACAGCCCGATCCCGTCAGTCGCCTCTTACGAAAAGCACAGTCGCCTTTTTACGGCAAGAATGGGTTGTTGAAGACCTATTCTACCCCGGATCTTCACGGGTGTGAATTGCAACTATCTTGAACGCGACGCAAAACCTAATTTCTGTTCACCCACCTTTCTGTTCACAAGTGACCAGAAAGATAACTAAACTAACAATAGAACCACTGGTAAACTTGGATTGTTGACCGAAATCTGGGAGGTGTCGAGTGTCATTTTCTGTAACGCCTGGATCCATGGTGGGCATGAGGAAAGGGCACGGATGCCTAGCTGTCTACGGCGCCACACATATCTGAGCAGAGATGGCGTACCAGAAACGTATGATGGTGGTTTGAATCTCGATGTGTCAACACTAAATCGTCCTCGTGGGTGGTAAACGCCAAAGGAAGCCTTCTACACCCACGGGATCCAGACACTCCAGCATCGTTGTCCAGAATTGTCTAGGACCCGTGACGATCCGGGGTAGAATAGGTCTTCAGCCATCCCTGCTTGCCGTAAAAGGCCGCAATCGGCAATATTCAAGCTATATGACGGCGGTCTGTTAATAATCCAGACCAGACTTTCAAGTGATTGACATCATGCGCATCGATCCACGCAATTGGGATCAATGACATGCATCAACCACGTCAGCGAGCCTGACCACCCGATCCCGTTAGTCGCCTCTTACGACAAGCATAGTCACCTTTTCCCACAAGCATGGGTTTCTGCACACTCTGGTCAGTGAGGGACGTGGATAGTTGCGCGTCATCAAACCGTTACGGCACAGGGTGGGGGCTAAAGAAAACGTTGGATGAAAAACAACTTGTGTCAACCCTGACAATTAATTGGATTAAACGAGAAACATTTTTACACTCCTACAACTTCGATTCCTATAAAGCTTTATCAATATATGGCCTTCAAGCAATTCCCAAACGGCATTAATTCCATGCCACGTGACACCCGTGCCCAAGAGGCGATGAAGATAAAACTGCAGCAAACCCACCCACATCCAACCTTACACGTACCCCCTACCTAACAGAGATCAACTCCGTGTACTGGCAGAAATGTAACAGGTCCGTCTGTGATAAATATCAATAAACATGCTTTCTTTTCATTATCGCTGGCGACTGCAGGCTGACAATTGTTAAATGTGAACAATAACAAACTCTCCTATTTTGCGTAATCCAGTCATAAAAATTCTTTTCCCAATTCCGTTTTCCAATTTCATGGCGAGAAAACACGCGTTTTTGTAATCTGAGTGAGTTTTCGTTACTGACTCGTTGCGACATGTTGAAAAATAACAATAATTGCTTGCTGCTTGCGTTTTAGCGGGAAGACAGTAAAACCACATTGGGAAATGATCCAACCTGTTCTATAACGATTATTCTTAAGTACATCGACCCCTTTCACCTTAAAACGTCCTCCAAGAGCTTTTTCAACAATGAAAACTATCTCGCATATTTAATTTCCATCTCATTCCTCTTTTTCAAGAAGGATGCCAAGTCTTCTTAAAACAAAGTAAAGATGACCTACATAAAATAGATCTAATTATTATAATAGCTTTGGTAATCTCGGTTGGAAATGTTCCCACTATACTGAATAAACATAGTGTACCAGGAATCTTGTCTCTGAGTAATATGGTCACGCTGAAGCATCTTCAGTTGTGATTGATGCTGCGGGAGATGAAATGGGGTCAACACTATTGCAGGGCAAAGGTTTGCCCCGTAATTGGTCAACGTCCGCGCAAACATGGAGAAATGAGCTCCATGCATACGCATTACTGGAGTAATAGTTGGTTTATTCATAGATATTGCTTTATTCCGTTTGTTTCATCTTCCATGCTTAAAGCCAATAACCGAATGCAATTAAGCTCGCAATCGCAGCCTTGTGTTTATTATTTCTAGTGGTCCGAGTCGTTGTGAGTTGTGTCCCTTTTGTAGAGGTTTTTGAACTGGTTCCCCGTCGTTGTTGCGTTCAAGCACAGACCCGGTTCTGTTTAAGAGCGTGACAGAGTTTAAGTGAAGAGTGGCCGCAATTACACCTATGTACCAAATGCCAAGTTTTCAGGAAGCGTTGATTAGGTGAACGGCAGAAATATAAACCAAAGTACTTTCGGTGCAGTGCCATTTTTCCAGTGTTCACGTTGGTATATTTTGTTGGTTCGATTGAAATAACACATTGAAAATACTAAAAGTGTGTATAGGAAGAGAATAACATCGCGAATATTTAAAATACCGCCCCAAATCCGCAGCTGATTGTTTCGGATTCATGATTCGCCCCAATTCTGATCCTTTTTCAGCACCATACCCGTTCTCACCAATGTTGTAAACGCATTCGCTCTGAGTCACTTTGAGTGTTCCTCTCACATGAAGTTGTCACGCCGCGATCTACCGCGATGAAGCGTGATTACGAAAGCCTAATGGTCCCACTTTTGGAGCATATTTATTTTAATTGAAATTTCAATTATTTATTTTTTTCTTGTTACCTCGATTATATTTTCGTAATTTCAACTGTTTTCTGTTTACTTCGTTTATATTTTCGTTATTTCAACTATTTTCTCGTTGCTTCGAGGTTTTTTTCTTGCAATTTCGATTTTTTCTCTCGTTTTAAGTTTATCTCAAAAACTCGAAATGTGGAATTTTTTCTCGTTATTTCAATTATTTTCACGAATTTTTATTTTTTTTAACTCGTTCCTTCGATTATTTTTTCGTAATTTCAATCATTTTCTCGTAACTTAAATTTATTAAAAAAAATCGAAATAAAAAAATGAAATACCGAGAAAACAATCGAAATTACGAGGAAATAATCGAAGTAACGAGAAAATAATCGCTGTAACGAGAAAGAACACGTAATGTCGAGAAAATAATTCAAATAACGAGAAAATAATTGAAACAACGAGAAAAAACTCGAAGTAACGAGAAAGAACTCGAAATTTCGAGAAAATAATCAGAAAAACATAATCACGCTACCAAAGTGGCACCATTAGGTTTCGTATGATATACCCTGATATACCCCAAGTTATTGACATCAGTGATCAGTTGGACCCGTCCCGCATAAGTGCCCAGGGCATCGTTCCACGAAGTCATATTAACACTAGGGCGACCGTAACTCCCATACATTAAACTTAGACTTATGACAGCCATAGCACTAAGACCGCTTAGGGAACACGGTGCTGGCCTGTGACGTGCTGGGACGGCATCGCTCAGAGGCTATATTTAGCAGAATGTGCAACGTACGTTCCTCACCAGCACAAAATGAAGGGGGAAATGCAGATGTAGTATTTGAAGTGCTCAGTTCGAGATATTTCGTGATTCTATTTCAAGGGGGGAGGACTGTAGGTTTGTCCGCACCATACCGGTGCTCATGGCTTTCACCCGTTCCACAAAACAATTTTGTACGACTATCGTAAGTCTATGTGAAGGTATTGGCGTTACCATTGCCTTAACCCTAAGAGCGCTTTGTGGAACGGGGCCCTCCATCACTTAAGGATTTCCTGTCACGTCAAGCTGTCAAGCCGTGATGTAACTAAAATGCTGGTCAAATCGGCGTTTAACCCAACTCACTCACTCTCTCTTTCAGGATATCAGTTGTATTCCGAGTGCGGTCAGCGGCGCGCATCAAGATCTCCGACGGTGACCTCATCAAGCGCCTCATCGTCATCGTACTGGTGTTTGCCGCTTACCTCACAGCCAGGACTGTCGCAGGCATGCCTAGAGTGGTGCAAGGTGGGTAGCGTCAGACAACGGGTGGGACCACCCGGTACATGTTGTCTCTCTATACTATTGACTGTCGCAGGCATGCCTAGAGTGGTGCAAGGTGGGTAGCGTCAGACAACGGGTGGGACCACCCGGTACATGTTGTCTCTCTATACTATTGACTGTCGCAGGCATGCCTAGAGTGGTGCAAGGTGGGTCGCGTCAGACAACGGGTGGGACAACCGGGTACATGTTGTCTGTTGATGCTATTGACTGTCGCAGGCTTGCCTTGAGTGGTGCAAGGTGGGTTGCGTCAGACAACGGGTGGAACCACCCGGTACATGTTGTCTCTCTATACTATTGAAAGGTGAAAGGTGGGTAGCGTCAGACAACGGGTGGGACAACCGGGTACATGTTGTCTCTCTATACTATTGACTGTCGCAGGCATGCCTAGAGTGGTGCAAGGTGGGTAGCGTCAGACAACGGGTGAGACCACGTCGGACCTATGCGACATGTGGTCGATACAATGAGATACCTGGTTTATAGACCCGTGAAGATCCGGGTTAGAATAGGTCCTCAGCAACCCATGCTTGCCGTAAAAGGCGACAATGCTTGTCGTAAAAGGCGACTAATGGGATCGGGTGGTCAGGCTCGCTGACTTGGTTGATGCATGTCATCGATCCCAATTTACGTGGATCGATGCTTATGATGTAAATCACTGGATTGTCTGGTACAGACGCGATTATTTACAGACCGGCGTCATACAGCTGGAATATTGCCGAGTGCGGCGTTAAAATAGAAACAAACCTGGGTCCACTTGCACAAAGCGATCTTAGCGCTAAGATGATCGTAACACCCATACTTTAACATAGGCTTACAATAGTCGTAGCGCTAAGATCGCTTTGTGCAAGTGGGCCCTGGTTGATAAATTGAGACATGTGTGCAGTGAGACTCTCACTCGCACCAATGGGTTCTGGTAAGGTAACCTCCAGGATGCCAACCTCCTCAACCTCCTCAAACCCACTCTCCCATTCCATACTCATTATCACCAGATAATCGGAAGGAAGCTCAGAAAACGCTGAAGAAATAATGAGATATCTGACAAAAGATAATTGATCTTTATTGTTTATATTTTTCTGTTATCTGAAGCTTTAGGATTGACGTGTTTATGTAACCAGACTCTAATTCCCCAAGTAAAAGGGTAACTAGCATTATTACTATAAATCGTTTTCTATTTTCATCTCAGATAGTGACTGTATGCAAACTGATTGCCCATGGCATTCCTTACGTTATAATTGTCAAATACACTTAGTGTCGTCCAGGCTATACGATGTACACGTTCATTGCGGTCGATAGCCGAATATCTTCCGTGTGTCCTGTAAGTAGCGGGAATTATAGTAATCTAGACCTGGAGTCCCTTGCTTAAAACATGAAGCGTAGGTGGAAAATTCTGTTTAGTATTCATTTTGTTATGCTCGGCTTCAATTTGAGGCAAGATTTAGGTTTCGGGAAACGATGAATGATCACCTTACAATGATCCTAAAAAAATAACTATTCTGTGACGCCATGTTGAGAAAGTCCTTCTGGTGAGAACTTTGTAAACGATATTCCGTTATACTGCCTGGGATTTTAAAGATTCTGGGATTCTTAAATAATCCTTAGGTGGACTTGTGGTGTACGCTCGGTTTGACAGGTTCCATTTCGATAACGACCATTTTTTTGTGTTTTTCCATTATTTTTGTATCCTGATTATTGCGAGACAGTACTTGCCATGAGACCCGTGAACATCCGGGTTAGAATAGGTCTTCTGCAACCCATGCTTGCCGTAAGAGGCAACTAACGAGATCGGGTGGTCAGGCTCGCTGACTTGGTTGATGTATGTCATCGTATCCGTACTGTGTGGATCGAGGCTCATGATGTCAGTCACTGGATTGTCTGGTCCAGACTCTATAATTTACATTTAGCTTGAATATTGGTGATTGCGGCAACATATTCCGTGCACCTGTCTGTATCAGCACTTTATGAAAATTTTGTTTGTTTGTTTGTTTGTTGTTTATGTTATGTTATGTTGTTCATGAGGTGCTGGTACAGACAGGTACACGGAATATGTTGCAGCATATAAAAATTAACATGTATGGACAGTACAATCCCCTTGTGTGGCCTTTTGTGTTGAATGGGGACTGTTGCCCAGTCGTCAAATTCACTGTGAGTTGGTTCGCCCCGATTTTGTTTCTAGGTTTGTCAGCACCATAAACGTGGTTCTGGGTTTCACCGAAGTGGTAAACGTCTAAGACCTGCATCACTTCGGGCTTTCCTCCCACATTAAGCTGACACGCCGTGATATGACTGGAATAATGTTAAAGCGGCGTAAAACTCAACTCACTCACTCACACTGTGAGTTGTGTCCCTTTGATGTACCAGAAACCGTTGATTCTAATCCTAGATGCTCTCTGAGTTCAGCTCTTGAGTTTTCCTGATCAACACCAAACCCGCGCTCGTGTGGATCACTTCAGAGTTTTCCCCCACATCAAACTGACACGCCGTGATATCACAACTCTTAAAATTGGCGTTTAACTAAACACACTCATTCCTGTGATGTCAGGCACGTGGAATATGACAGAAATGTGAAAATAAACCAAAGTCGAAGATAATTCGACCTAAATACGGTCCGTTTTTCACCAAATTAGACCAATGTTTTCGTAATATCTCTAATATTGCACTCGGATCGATTAATCGATACATGCATGTCTCTTTTCGCCGTATCAATTTTTTAACTCTAGTTGCACATTTTTCATTATCCTTTAACTGAAACATTACTATCATAATTATCTGTAAAAGGGCGCTAGATAGCAGCGCTGCGGGGCTCCCCGTGCGTAATATGCCGCCCTCTGGGTCATCAAAGCTCTTAAAACTAAAATGTGTTAATTCTGAATTTATGATGCTTGAGATCCGAAAGCTAAGGGATCGATCGCTTATCATTTTGAGGATGGTAGGAGTCGGAGAGAGGCTTGGGAAGGGTGGGGGAGCGGATGTATTTAAAATTATGCATCGTACGCAAAAATACATGTGGAAAGAAATAGGGGCAACGCGATTGATAAGACAACAACGTGAGCTACGGATAATAATAATAAAAATAATAATAATAATAATAATAATATGATGATGATGATGATGATGATGATGAATAATCAGAGTGCACTCGATTTCGATTTTCCTTTCTCAGCTCCCTTGGGAGTATACAACCCTAGCTGCAAAGATATATGGGAAGACGCTTTCCAGCCGTTGTTGTAAATATACTTTGACTACGCGTCCGTCTGTGTCTGACATTTTACTTGAATGCTCTATGTGACTATTAAAACTAGCCTGAATAAGATCATCTTCCCGAGGCAAGTGAGTTAACTGACTTTAAAAGTCCAGTTTCCACCCTTGCCGAACTAGGCTGGTATAATGGAGTTACATTTTGTCTGGATTAACGAGTCTATGCATAGTCCAATCAAAATCGCGCACCGCAATCAAAATCCGGTTCGTAAACTGTCGTGCAGGTTTCGATCGATTGCAGGATTTGCAAAGCATGTGCACCGCCAACTCGTTATCAGCAGATATTTTCCAAATCCTTTCGTGTTTTTAATCAAGGTGCTCACGTGATTTGATGCATTTCGCGATGTAAGACCCGTTTTATCACAATATAGATCTTGATTATCGATCAGATCGTCCTGACTGGGCGCCACCATTTTGTGTGAAGCAAACGCAAGTGAAACGAGAGGTGGAATCTGATTGGTCCACAGGAGAGGTTTAGAAGGGACATAAAGCCACTGGTGGCGCAACGATCGAGCCCAGGTATTCAAGCCAAGTTCGGCAAGGGTTGAAAGTTGACTTTTAAAGTCAGTTAATTCACTTGCCACGGGAAGATGGAATAAGATGTCGCTTGCTATTGGCTAGGATTCAGGAACAGAGAGGACGCGAGCAAAACCAGTTGACATTTACACTATTTAAAACATTACGTAATAACAGTTGTCTTGCCATGTTTCAGTAACTGAATTTCCATAATTTAGAGAACCGCACGCGCGGTTCCGTACATCTTTTAATGTCAAATAATTACCTTATATGGCTTCCTGGTGTGAAATTAAACGATGGACACGAACCATTGGGTATTTTATAGCAATATTTTAAAAACGTTTTAATATTAATTTGCCATATTGGATTATTTTTTTATGAAATTGACACTGGCAAAAATATTGCGCTTGTAATTTTGGTGGATTTTTGCGAGGTTTTAGAATGTTATTACCTGTAGTTGAGTCACGATCTTCGTACGGGCACTCTACCGAATACTGGTGTCGCCTTTGGAACTAAGGATGCTAGATTTTCTTTATCCGTGTCTAACTCAACCAACCACAAACTCTTTGCGTGCTGCCATGATTGGACTGAAAGGGACTACTTTTAATGTATACTACTCAAAACAAGTTAAGGAACATCCACAATAGGAAGGCCGTTTGTTGCAATACCCACCAGTCTTGCCAGATTAATTATAGTCATATGAACAAGTCGGTGTTCTTTTACTTCTTTTGAGTAGTATGATGTTATTTTCCTGGTTCGTGTCCAGACTCGATTATTTACAGACCGCCATCATAGAGCTGGAATATTAAATAATAATAATAATAATATAGTTTATTAATGTGTCATGTGTACATAATACACCTGGCCATTACAATCAATAAAATACATAAATAAAATATTATAACTAACAATATCTTCATATGTATACAGCAAACCCCACCCACCCACCACCCCTCCCCCCTCCCCACTCCACAGACACACGGACATGTACTCTCATGCAAGATCAACCTAGTCACCAGTTCACACACCTTAGCACACACAGACACACCCTCACCCCTCACCCTAAAAGACACCTAAAATTATACAATCAATAAAATACATAAATAAAATATTATAACTAACAATATCTTAATATGTATACAGCAAACCCCATCCACCCACCACCAAATATTGCTGAGTGCGGCGTTTAACAACAA